AATTATCATCGCTTCTCCATCTTAAAGGTAGTTGCAAAACTGGCAGCACTGAAAGGCCAAGATTAGTAATACTGTTGGGCATTTCCAGACTGGAGGCAGCAGGTGGGCCAAGAACTGGTGTCTCATTGCTCTGAACTGGAGTAGTGCAGGAAAGGGACACATTTCTCCACCACGCACTTGGATGTGAGACATGCTTCAATGCACTGTGGGGATGAGGACCAAGGGTCTTGTTAGAGCGCAGATCTCCTGGATTAGTTTACCCTCAAAATGAAAACATGTCGTATGAACTAGATGCTTCTGGCATAAATCAAACTTAAAGTCCATGTACTCCAGGATCAGGTTTGGAAATTGCATATGGAACTTCATCTGAAGAGCTTGATGAAGACTTAATTATTTGGGAGATTTACTGGCACAACACAAATCATAAGAGACTCTGACTGCTGGTCAGACAGGCTAAAGGTGAGGAATTCACCCTGCTCCCTGTTGGAGCATCGCGTCCGTGCTCAGTGTCGTGCAGGGCTGGGAATCTTGCTTCGTGAACCCATTTCGGTTTCATTTCTTGTGAGATTTGCCTCTTTGCGCCTGTTATTTTGCTTTTAGAATCAAAATTCAAGATCAAAGTGAAACTCAGCCAAAATGCCAAGATTTCCTGGTTTCAAGTTGAAACCAAGCAAAGTCTCCAAGGTTTGCATGGTTTCAACCTAAAACCATAAATCATCTCTTATTTGCCTAAAATTTGTTCCAAATTTACTGAAAACTTGGCCCAGATTTGCCTGAAAGTTGGCCCAGGTTTGCTTGAAACTGAGCCCAGCTTCAGTGAGAGGTTCATGAACCTCGACAAACCTGGCCTGAGCCTTGACTTTGTAATGAAATCCAAAACCAGGGAGTTTCACCTGGTTTGGGTTTGGTTATAAATGTTTCTCACAGCTCCAGTATTTATTATGATTACAGCAACAACATATTTATACAGAGCTACAAGCACACACACAAGATTGCAAAGTGAAAAATTCCAGACAACTTTCCCACCCGTCCACACTTACAATCTGAATAATACCCTGAAATATAGCTACAACCAAACCTCAATCCCACATGGCCTGTTTAAAAAAAAATTCCTGGGTTGTCACAGAAAAACCAAAATCACCCCGAAGAACCTCGTAGTGGAATGATAGGAATAGGGAATCCACCTCCAAAGAAAACAGCGCGGACGGGCTGTTTTCCTGGCTGTCCTCGTGAAGCCGCCCGAGACAAGCTGGGAAGCGCCGGAGCCAAGGGCCTGCCCATCAGCACTGTCACTTCTGATTACCTCCGTGCAGGCTGCTGACCTCCGTCCTCGCCCAGCAGCGTTTTTCCAGCAGGACGCTGCCGGGCACTGCCACGGTTGCACTGTTTTATTATTTTGCTTTTTTAACTCGAGCTGCAGCGACTGCAGCGGATGAGCACAGGGAGCCGCTCGCTGCTGCTGGGCTCGACATGGGCAGATTTTTGTGGGACGGGTCCCTGTGGCGGCTCAGCCTGCGGCCCGACGGTGCCAGGGACAGCTCTGAGGGCCGTCCTGGAGACGGGGCCGCACACGGCTCTGCCCCCTGCTTCGGGAACGGCAGTGCTGCTGCAGGCAGGACAGCGCCTGCGTACGTGCTCTGCTGCAGAGAAACATCTGGTTCTGGGTTCCTGCTCTGTAACACGAGGATGACGAACACGTCCCAGCCTCACGGGGCTGCAGCGAGGCTGAGCGCTCCTGCCTGCAGGCGCTCGCGTCCTGCGCTCCTGGCAGCTGTGGAGAAGCCCCTAAACATCGCGCTGAGCAGATGTGAACCTGGGCGCTGGGGCACACGTGGGGCAGGGCTCAGCTCACGGCTGCCTGGGATGGAAGAACCCAGCATGCAAGAGAAGAGGAGGAAGAAATCCCAGACAGGCCGAGGCAGGGCCAGCGTGGGCCTCCAACCTCCCTGCTTCAGCCGGCTGCCTCTGCCGCCTCTCCCAGCCCCAGCAGCACCACACAGGTATTGCAGAAACAGCAGAGAGAGTCTGAAATACAAAAGCAAAGCCTGCACTGACCTCACTGGCCTGTATTGCCCACTGAAAACACTGGGAAGCTCGTTACTGATGAACGGGTTTGGGTGCTGTTTTCCTCAATGGCATTTATTGCCAGAGTATAGAAAGACTGGCAAGTTTTAGAGACAGCAGCAGTAGATGATTAGAATGTGTCGGTGCTGAGGTCAGAACTTGGTCTACATGGGAAGACGGTCCCCATCTGCACGCAGGCTGGAGCAGCGACCTGCTCGGGACACCAGGCCTTGCTCCTAGGGGCTCCGAGCACCCGCAGCCCCCGGTGCTCTGACTCTCAGCACAAACGTGAGTCGTTTGGGGCAAGAAGGCAGAGGATGCCAGTAACTCCTCTATCTTCAATTAAACTTAGCTGTTTCTTAACCAAAGCACAGTCCCCCCTCTCATTTCTGCTCATGCCCATGGAGCTTTAGCTGAGCATCGTTCTGCTGAGATTGTGTGATGACACGAGGCTGATGCTGGGGGAAGACTGGCAGAACTCTGCCAGCCAGGACTTCCTATGCTCTGTCCATCATATCCTGGCCTTAAGTACTGCACTTCTGAAAGCACGAAGCCAACCCAAGGAGAGCCGGGTTGAAGTCCCGCTCCAGAGCAAAGGTGGAGTAGGCTAGAAATGGGGAGTAGACTCCAGATTTCTGAACGCACCAACTTTCATGCTGTGAGTCAAAATAGAGGGCTTCCTTGTCACAACAGGGGGTTAAGAGCCTTTTCTTTCTGATCTCACACCTAGTTAGAAGCCACAGCACTGCGCACAGTACGAGCCCATTAACATTGCCCAGAATCCAGGCAGAATCCCGTGAGGTCTGGATGATTCTAGAACAGCACAAGTATAAAATGGGAACACAAAAACTCCTATGCAGCAAGCGTTAATTTTTGAAAGATGTGAGAATGGTTCTGAAATGTCCCGCCCCGAAGCCCAGCCTAGAGCAGCTTGTGTCACCCCTACCTGCCATGGCTCCGCATGCCCTGGTGGTCCCCAACCTGGTGACAGGAAGGTGCCGCTGGCGCCAGGAGGAGGTCACGGCGCTCTGTTCCCAGAGCCCTTCAGGCCGGTCTGTGCTGAGGAATCTTACCTAGATTACATCTCCCAAGGCAAGAAGTTGAACATAAATTACAGTGTAGAATATTTAGCTGACAGAAAACCTGCATGTGACCCTAGAGGTTAGTTTGGGACCTGCTTTAAGAAAGCAAACACTTTGGGTTCTTTGAAAGTTAGCTTAAAAGGGAGACTGTGGAAACAGTCATGTTCTGCCAAAATACACAGCAGCTGTCAGGTTTACAAGATACTCTTACACAACAAGAAAATGATTTCATATGTACAACAACAAGTCATCTTTGTTAAGCTCCATGTTAACCAAAAATTATACTTACTGCATGCATGCATATATACTGAATCATATGCACAACCACAACTGAGGGAAAGCACGTGGCTGTTTCAAGTGACTTTAGTTTTTACTATTTCCTTGAATTTGAAAAACAGACTTGAACTGCAAAAGCAAACACCTTCGAAAAGACCTAGACTTCAGTCTGCTGAGGCCTTAGAGTTGAATCGCACTGTCGAACCAAATGCAGGAAACTATTTTGTTGAAAATCATCCTTCTGGATAACCACTTTTTAACTGCTGGTCTCACGGAACGTTATCATGCACCTCTTGTTTCATGCAGAATCTAGGAAAACTTCAGAAACTCAAACTGTTAAACATAATTATATACATATGGTAACTAAAACTGGCAGACATAAATTACATCCCAGTTATGGTTCATAACTGCAAAGAGAAAGATGAGTAGTTAACAGAGATGTTTTGCAGAAATGTGCAGACAATATGTGCCCAACACAATTAAGCAGGTTTTGGGCTTAAGGTGTTATACAGCAGCTTAAATCTTCAACCAACTGCAACTGACAGTATCCCGATGGCTCCTCCTGAAATCATTCTTCTCAGTTCCTCTTGATCCTTACAGGCTGGAGACAAGAAAGACCCAAACCAGACACTGAGCCATAAACGATACAGTCTTACACACTGGCACTTGGTATTAAAAACATTCCCAACCTGTTGAAATTAGTGTGCCATTTAAAATTGTAAAGCATTGATTATATTTTGCTATAGTTATCCAACATGTGGGGAGAACACACTGTTCAAGATTTAGGCATACTAACAAATAAAGTCTAAAGATGGTCTACTAAAAATATCAGTTTGACTCTGTGCATCAGTTCCTTTATATACAGGTAGACTTGTTGCACAGAAAAATCCATGAGCTGAAATCTAATTACAGGAAAGAACACAATTTGGGGTGAATTACTACAGCACACTTCCCTTCTAAAGCCATTACAGCCCAATGTATGTTCCTTCTACCCAATCCGTAGTTTCTTGCTGTTCTGCTGAAAGACAGACCGAGGCACTTGCATATAGAAGAACACCAGCTCTTCATGCAATTCCTTTTATATTAACCCAACTGCAGCCTACGATTACTTTTAATATTGGATTATTGCTTTGTAAACAAACTTAATTAGTCAATAGTAGCTGCTGAAGTGGAAGTAAAGAATTGAGTATTTTCAATAAGTCAGTTCAAGCAAAAAAAAAAGGACTTTTCAAATGAATTAAACATGTTTTCTGAATAATAATTTAACTTCCAGTTTTGCCTGTTTTGGCTATCAGAGTTACTGATTGACAAGATTATTTAGGTCAAGTCATTGGAAATGTTTTAACTTGCTTTTTTTAGAGTCATAATTTTATAAAATTCCACTGCTGTTCAGATTTGTGCAGGTTTCTGTATTTCTTCCTTTCTTTCTTTGCATGGAGAATGAACACATGGCAGCAGCAAACCTTCACGAAGAGATGAGCGGTGCACATAGACACGCTGCCTCTCCTACCAGACTGTGCGAAGCATTACAATTCAGTCTATCATACTTCAGCAAGAACACAAGGCCACAGAATAAACTAAAAAAAGAACTGTTTTATTGTGACATTTATGACATTGAACCCTTTTTGATAATGAATGATTATGGGTACTCTTGACACGTTACATAATGTCATGGTGTAGGATGGCACTGATTGTCATCTGACTTTTGAGAATGTTTAATGGTCCCTACTGACCTCAGTGCATTTTGGTAAGTCACAGAAACTTTATCATCAGGTTTGTGTATACAGTTAACAAGTAGTTGGTCTTATAAGCACCATTACAAACCCTCACATTAAGGGTATTATTAATCTAGTTTACAAATGCTTCATTGATAAAAATAGCATGATTACAGTATACACACACTTAATTTACATGTAATGTATTATAGGCATAACTGAGATAAACTACTGAGCTAACTTTGGTTGATTGAAGTATTTAGACTGAATAATGGCAATTTTGGCTTCTAAGTTGTGTAAATATTACAGTGCATTTATAAATCTAGGTTGAAAATTTACTAGCACCAAATGGATATCATAAATGGCTGACCTAGTAAGTTGTAGTTGGAGAAGCGAAGTTTAAGTATTACAAAAATAGAGCTGTCCATCAGTTGAAAGCACATTCTTGTACCTCTGCTGAAATGATGATGTGTCTCAGCATCAGTGGCCAACTTACAATGGTAAAAGTCCCAGTTTTCAAGATTCAGCATATCAAGGTAGCTCAGCTACACTTAAAAGCCTGAGAAAGTGGTTGTTTGAGCTAGGGTATTCATCCTGTACCTTGTTTATGTAATAATATAATAGTGCTCGTTCATACCAATGTACTCATGTAAGATTGTACCTATGATATGGAGAATCTGATTGGGAGGAATATTCAGTCCTACCTATCTATCTTTGGTTTAATTATTTGGTCTTTGGTGGATGAATTAATGAAGCAATATCTGAATTTTCATTTTCAGGTTATCTCCCAGCTCACCACTGAGGTAGTCTTTGTCATGTTTCTCTTCAAGCTGGTTAAGTTCCTTCCTTTTATAGAGTGGAATACTACTGATTTGTAATGAATAGTTTCCAGGCACTGGCTTCTTCTTTGTGAAATGAAGGTAACTTATCCCGTCCTTCTTATTGATTCTAAAGAAACCATCTTCATTTCCGTAGTCAATTAAATATCGGTTATGGTTTGTCAGTGTTGTGAGGGCTGGAAGCAGTTCCAGGATGCGGTCCTTATTGCTGAGCTCCGAGATGTTGATGGAGAAAACTGCTGCTTTCTCAATATCCCAGCTGGCGAGACTGACCGGCGGTTCCAGCTCTTGCTGATCCTGCACAAGAACAGAGGACGTGAGCTCGTGTTGTCAGTGCGTTTCGTGGGCGCAGAGGCGTATGCATTTCTTACCCAGTTCACACAGTATTAGTAAGATAGATTTTAAAGGAGGTCCTGTCTATGTAATAAGACATAAGGAGGTCTAGCTGCAGAAAGACTTATCAGAAAGAGACAAAGTCTTTGTCACCACCTCTGCGGAGGTCGCTGGGCCTCTACGCAAGTCCCATGTGGAATGGGACTGTTTTGGGAGCATATTTTTTAACAAAAGCATGTTACACTGCAGTGGCAGAATGGTAGCATTTCAGCCAAAATATTTTAATTTGGAAAGCAAGGGAATGTCTGTTTCCCCAAGGACAAGTGCTCTTATCCAGCACCAACCACAGGGAGCTTTGAAGCACTTTGAATACAGTTTATGATCCCAGCAGCCGCTGTGCCCCAAATCAAAGGTCCTCACTTCTCTGGCCAAAGCAGTTTGCTGCCTTCCCCTGTTAGGCAGGAAGCCGGGCACCTCATGGGGCACCTCGTGGGGCCTCCCTCACAGGCTCAGTTGAGACACCCTTAACTGAATTACAAATATTTGAACATTCTAGAGAGCTGCTGCTTCTAGCCATGTCAATGCACATTGCTTCACCTACAGCACCACCGTCACTGCTGACTGGATAAACCCCAAGTGTGAAGTCAAATGACTGGGGATCCTCCTCCTACAAGGTGTTCAGTTTGGGAAAGTCTCTATCTAATCAGTGTAAATGAGCCTGAAGTGCAGTGACTGCTGCTGAAGGTTGGACTTTGCCATTAGCCTTGCACCCCTGCTAAGGCATTTTAATTTTGCTCCAGAGAGACTATGGTAACATAACACATTAAAGATCTTGCTTTTATCATGGCTCCTGCACTCACGCTCTGAGGGCGATGCTGGATGCAGGCAGCTTCTGGGCAGTTTTGCTGCAAACCAAACTGATGGACAAACAAGATTGCAACAATCTTGAGAATAGTGTCTCACTGCTGTGATCAGTTCACAGCAAACCCCAGGAGGAAGAGTTTGGTGAAGGATTTACTTTTCTTTTAATGCTATTTGAAAAAATGTTTAATAAGAATTAAACAAAAATATATCCCCCTGCCAAGGTGAGTGAAAAGGGATGCGTATCCTTTATGTAAAGACAAAACTGGTAACACAGCAGACAGGTTTTCATGCAATACAGGTGTTGACATCCCTTCTTACTGGTGTTATTTGGCGAGCACTGCAGTAGGTTTTAAGCATATCACTGACCTGCCATTACCCCACCGAGACAAAAGGAAACCGCCCCAATTCCAGGGCCTTCCGCCAGCGACATGGGGAGCTCGGCCTCCTCTCCTGCGGCCTGGGCAGCCTGGGGGCTGCAAGGGTCCCATGAGACCCAGGAGAGGCTGCGGCAGCAGCGGGATGCTCTGGGCCCCCTCCAGCACTGGGATCTGGTGCTGTGTTTGCTTTGGAGGGGCTTCCAGCACTGGCCATGCCATGGCCCTGCCTGGCTGGTGCCCTCTGACAGCGAGACCCCTTGGCTGTGATCGCGCTGCCCCCAGAGCGCAGCGGGGCGTTAGTTTGGTTTTCGTGTTTGATGTGGCACAGACACTCGGCGTGAAGGGCCTCCAGAGGATGACCTTTGCCTGATGACTGTGAACAACTTCAAAAAAACCCCACAGAACTTGATGCTCAAAAACAGCTCTTTGGTCTCCACCAGGGTCTAGTTTTTCCTGGGGGATTCTTTTTTGGGACATTTTCTTCTGAGACTGGCTTTCACAAGACAACCCAAACCCTTGCACCCAAAGTGCAATTACCTCTGCTTCATTTGCAGTTTCATTAGTGCTTCTGCGCTTTCTTCCTCTCTTGTGATACCCATTGATTTTGCATTCGTAACAAGCTTCTGGGGAGAGGGAGTTGTCATCTACTTCTCCGCTGACTGGTAATTCTTGTCCTTGACCTCTGCCTAGCCCAACTCCAGAAACACAGTGTCTGAGGAAAGAAGAAATCCAGAGCAATTCCACTAAGACGTACACTTAAGCAAAAGTTAAATTTAGAAGACACTGAATACAAATAATAATAAAACAACTATGTTACACACTTTTCCAAGGAAAAATTTCTACTTAAGTCAAGAGGCAAAATTCTCACTGAATCACAATGCAACCAACTCTTTGATTTCAAGAGTCTGGCTCCATGAAGCTTTGCCTAAGAGAGACCTGCCAATATTTAATAGTTCTAAAAACACAGGCTTAAGCTCTGAGAAGTTGTTAGTAATTTCTGGCATCTAACCTGGAATGCATTGAAAGAGACTGGTTTTCAGAAAGTGCTGAAAAATCTGAAAATCAGGTCTTTCATAACGTGTCCCAAGTGAGCATCCCAAAGCCTTTAGTCACTTCTGAAAATTTAAGCCACATTCTTTATGCCTTCCACTTCAGTGCTCTGTCCTAACAAGACACCTCCCAACACTGAGAATTGGTTTTCTTGATAAAATAGACATTTAATCAAACACAATTCACTTGGAATATGTAAAAATATGGAATGGTGTTTACAAGATCATAACAAAATTGTCATTCTAAATGGTGGGTGAAAGCACTTGAAAATATTATTTTACTCTTGAGTTGGTGGGAGGGTGTTTTTCTTGTTTGTTGCTGTTGGGTTTTTTGTTTGGTTTTGTTTTTGAGGCAAGCGACGGGTACAGATGACCAGGAGAGGCGCGAGCTCCCGGGGGCGGCCTGGAGACCTTGGCTCGCTGCTGGGGAGCGGGAGAGAGCAGAGAGGAGTCGCAACATAGAGATTATTGAACCAAGCAGCCCTGGACCAAATCGCCTTGGGCAGCAAAACCACGCGTCTCCCTTCCCTGTTAGCTCTCCCCTGCCTCAGGTGCAAAACAGGCAGCTGTGGGAAGCTTGAGCACCTCCATGATCCCATCCCATTTCACTGGCGCTTCTGCCTGTGGTTCTGCAGCTCCACACTACAGAGAAGGGAGTGGATCGTGTCCCCTTAACGTCCATTAGTTTAAAATGAGAATCCCTTACCCTTGTCCTATTCTGAAGTAACCAGGTGGACATCCACAGACATAGCCACCTTCAGTATTTGAGCACCCATAACTGCATGGGGCTTGTGCAGAACCGCATTCATTGATATCTTGGCAACCTCCACTAAACTGTTCATACTGAAATCCGGTAGGGCACATACATTTATAGCTTCCCAAAGTATTGTGGCAAGATGCTCCTCCACAAATGTGTGCACTGAGGCATTCGTTTTCATCTGGAAAGGAAGCAGAACACATCACGTTAGCTTTCGCCCCCAGCTCTGGGCTGACCTAGC